CGGATCTTTACAAGAACAGAGAACCCATCTCTCTCCCAGGGAGCGGCTGGCAGGTTCAAACCCCCGCCCTTGTAATGAGCAGCCCAAGGCTCCTCTGGTCACACTTGCTCTGGGAGTAGAGAGGGGTGCTCAGTTTGGCCCTGAAGCTGGGTGTCAACCATCAGAGGAGGACCAATTGAGGAGGCCAGCACAGTAGGAGCAGAAGCCAGGGAGTGGGAAACCCCTCCCCAGGGCCTGAGATCCTGAGCTGCCATCACTGTTGGGACCCCCAAGGAAGGGGTGAGTCAGGGAGGCCCCCTGGAATGTGCAGTGGGGGGGGCTGCTCTCACTTCATGAATACTGTCAGGTATCACTGGGCTGGCTGCCCAGGACTCTTGGGTCTGGGGGCTCAGTGGCAGGACTTGTAGGGGAATGGGCCATGGTAGCTGAGACGGAGGAGTCTCATGGCCCCAGTAGCCTTAGGAACCCTTGCCCAGTCCACTGAGGGTCAGACACATTAATTGACCCCTTCCCCACCTCAGTCTCTGAGACCCTTTGAATCTGCTCCACGCCCAGCCCTTAGGGCAGCTCGGGAGGGCCGACTTTGTCCCTGCAGAGGGAGGGCTGGTGGAGAAGGGTATGCCCTACCTCTTGAGGTGACCCCACTCCTCACCCTCTGAATGCCAGGGTGCTTCCAGTCAGCCCTGGCGGGCTAAGGAGGAAGCAGCATGGGGCCTTCTTTGTCCTGGGCACCTGGGCCTCGCTGTGAGGTCCCAGGCAGGTGGCTATTCTGAAGGAACAGTAGGGCTAAGGACCCTTGGGGTGGGAGTCCAGCCCAGCGCCGCCCTCTAACCAGACCTCTGTCCTGTGCTTGCTCCCGGCTGCAGGTGAGCGAGAGGATGCTGTCGGGGGCCGCGAGGAGCATGCCCAGCCCCCTCCTGGCCTGCTGGCAGCCCATCCTCCTGCTGGTGCTGGGCTCGGTGCTGTCTGGCTCGGCCACAGGCTGCCCTCCCCGCTGCGAGTGCTCGGCCCAGGACCGCGCGGTGCTGTGCCACCGGAAGCGCTTCATGGCGGTGCCCGAAGGCATCCCCACCGAGACGCGCCTGCTGGACCTGGGCAAGAACCGCATCAAGACGCTCAACCAGGACGAGTTTGCCGGCTTCCCGCACCTGGAGGAGCTGGAGCTGAATGAGAACATCGTGAGCGCCGTGGAGCCCGGCGCCTTCAACAACCTCTTCAACCTGCGGACGCTGGGCCTCCGCAGCAACCGCCTGAAGCTCATCCCGCTGGGCGTCTTCACGGGCCTCAGTAACCTGACCAAGCTGGACATCAGCGAGAACAAGATTGTCATCCTGCTGGACTACATGTTCCAGGACCTGTACAACCTCAAGTCCCTGGAGGTCGGCGACAACGACCTGGTCTATATCTCCCACCGCGCCTTCAGCGGCCTCAACGGCCTGGAGCAGCTGACGCTGGAGAAGTGCAACCTGACCTCCATCCCCACGGAGGCGCTGTCCCACCTGCACGGCCTCATCGTCCTGAGGCTCCGGCACCTCAACATCAACGCCATCCGGGACTACTCCTTCAAGAGGCTGTACCGCCTCAAGGTCCTGGAGATCTCGCACTGGCCCTACCTGGATACCATGACCCCCAACTGCCTCTATGGCCTCAACCTGACATCCCTGTCGATCACACACTGCAATCTGACCGCCGTGCCCTACCTGGCCGTGCGGCACCTGGTCTATCTCCGCTTCCTCAACCTCTCCTATAACCCCATTAGCACCATCGAGGGCTCTATGCTGCATGAGCTGCTGCGGCTGCAGGAAATGCAGCTGGTGGGCGGGCAGCTGGCCGTGGTGGAGCCGTACGCCTTCCGAGGCCTGAACTACCTGCGCGTGCTCAACGTCTCCGGCAACCAGCTGACCACGCTGGAGGAGTCCGCCTTCCACTCGGTGGGCAACCTGGAGACGCTCATCCTGGACTCCAACCCGCTGGCCTGCGACTGCCGGCTCCTGTGGGTGTTCCGGCGCCGCTGGCGGCTCAACTTCAACCGGCAGCAGCCCACGTGCGCCACGCCCGAGTTCGTCCAGGGCAAGGAGTTCAAGGACTTCCCCGACGTGCTCCTGCCCAACTACTTCACCTGCCGCCGCGCGCGCATCCGGGACCGCAAGGCGCAGCAGGTGTTCGTGGACGAGGGCCACACGGTGCAGTTCGTGTGCCGGGCGGATGGCGACCCGCCGCCCGCCATCCTCTGGCTCTCGCCGCGCAAGCACCTGGTCTCAGCCAAGAGCAACGGGCGGCTCACAGTCTTCCCCGACGGCACGCTGGAGGTGCGCTACGCCCAGGTACAGGACAACGGCACGTACATGTGCATCGCGGCCAACGCGGGCGGCAACGACTCCATGCCCGCCCACCTGCATGTGCGCAGCTACTCGCCCGACTGGCCCCATCAGCCCAACAAGACCTTCGCCTTCATCTCCAACCTGCCGGGCGAGGGCGAGGCCAACAGCACCCGCGCCACAGTGCCTTTCCCCTTCGACATCAAGACCCTCATCATCGCCACCACCATGGGCTTCATCTCCTTCCTGGGGGTCGTGCTTTTTTGCCTGGTGCTGCTGTTCCTCTGGAGCCGGGGCAAGGGCAACACAAAGCACAACATCGAGATCGAGTACGTGCCCCGCAAGTCCGACGCGGGCATCAGCTCGGCCGACGCACCGCGCAAGTTCAACATGAAGATGATATGAGGATGCGCGGCGGGGGGCAAGGGACCCCCGGGGCGCCAGGCAGGGGAAGGGGCCTGGCTGCCGCAGCTGCTGGCCTGCTCCCCTACCCTTCCCACCACCCTGCCCCACCACACACTCTTTCTCCCTCCCACCCCAGCTCCTGCAGCCCCCCCACCCCTCTTCCAGCCCTCACCGCCTGTCCTCTTTCTGCCAGGACCTCAGAAGTCTAGGCCTGGGGACCCCACCTCACAGGGGCACGTACTCACAGACTGGAGCCGGAGGCCCACCAACCGACATGGCTGCAGTCAGTAATTCCATTAAATAAAAAAAAAAGTTACGAACTTCCTCTGTAACTGGGGTTTCAATAATTATGGATTTTTATGAAAACTTGAAATAATAAAAAGAAAAACAAACAAAACTATTTCCTATAGCTAGTCGGAATGCAGATCCTCCACGCGGGCTGGTTGTTCCAGGGCCTGCCTCCAACTCAGTTTGTTTTTCTCTCCCTCCTCCTCCACCCCTCTAACTCTTCCTCCTTTCTCTTCTCTTCCCCGGTGGGGAGGGACCACTCAGGAAATCAGAAAAGGAGGCTCCAGCACTCCCTCCCCCCTCCAGGGCAGCTCTACAAGCTGGCTGGGGGGCAGGCAGGCAGGGTGGCTCTGGGCTGGCTGTTTGTAAGGAGCTGGTGGAGGGCTGCGGCTGCCCGTTGGGCTGGGGACCCCTCTTCAGGTTGCGGGGCAGCTGTGTTGCCAAGGTGGGGGCCTGGTTCAGGTGCTGAGACTGGACAGGCCCTGGGGTCCTCCTGGGGAGGAGGGGGACACAGCACAGTCTGTGGAGAGGCCCGGGGCAGGATGGAGGCTCACCTTCTGTTCTCAGCCCCATCCAAGCACACACCGAGTGTGTGGCCTGGAACAGACCACTGGCCCCCTCTGGGCCTCCCTGTTCACATCTGTACAAATGGGAACGTGCTTCCCCGCCCTGCCTACCTCACAGGGCTGTTGTGAGGAATTGATGAGATGATGTATGTGAAACACTTTGTAACGTGTAAAGCGCTGTGCACACGTGTGGGCGAGTGTTCTTATGGTCGTCATTATGCACCAGGGGTGGATGGGGTGGCTTGCACTTGCACTAAGGGGCGGCTTGTACAAGGTGCTTGTAGGACAGCAGTCCTGCCGGTCGCCAGTAGCATTAACCTGACAGATGAACTTGAGACCCACTTGGGGGTCCTGGGGCCCCCTCCAGCTTGGGCTTTGACCTCTCCAGTTCTCAAGGAAGCCTTTACTGAGCACCTGCTATATAGCTCTTCCCATGCAAGGGTGGAAGTTTCAGACGACCATGTTGACGCTTCCCTGAGGACTGCCGAGACCCAGCTTGTCTGCCAACCCCCAGCTCTGCCCATACTTTGAGCCTCTCCTGGGTCCTTAAATGCCCTGGGCTAAGGTCCCCAAGCACCTGAGCTGACCCACCACCTCCACCCTGCTCCGCATGTCCAAACCAAACCTAGATTCTCCGGAACCATCCTGCAGAGGGGCCCCCGGATGGCAGTAGGCAACCTCCTCCTAGCTTTTCCCAGAATCCCTGGGCCTTGGCTCCGCCAGCAGGCCATGTGCTCGCTGCACCTCCACCTCTAGGCTCCAGGATCAGGGGACCTGGCTTCTTCCTGCCGTTTCCTTTTCTCCTTGGATTTGACCCTGTGGTGGGCCCCCAGGCTGCCCACTAACCACCCGGCTGAGGGACAACTTCGGAGATGGGGGAACAAGTGGGCACAGGCTCGGCTGGCTGTGGAATGGGAGCAGTAGGCAAGTCAACAAGAAGATTCCAGAAGGCCGCTCCGCCAACTGTTCTCTTCTTGGCCTTATAGGCCCCGTGAAAACCAGCATAGACCAGGTAGCTGCTTACCTAACTAGCTGAAGTAGTTGTCATCCAGTCGATTCCGGCTGATGCCATGTGTGCTGGAGCAGAATGATGTTCTGTCTTCATTCAACGGCCGATTTCATTCAGATGTAGATTACTAGGCCTGCCTTCCAGGGCCGCTCAGCGTGGCCTTGAACTGCAGATCAACCAAGTTCAGTGAGCAGCTGAGCATGTCACCATTAGTACCAGCCACGGAGCCCCGCGGAGGCTCTGGTGGGACTGCACAGCGAGTGGAGTCTGGCTGGGACTCAGCACCCCATTCCTTAGTCACCACTCATCCCTCTACCCACTCACCCAGCCAGCCTACAAATGCCCCGGCTCTGCGCCTGACCCCCAGTTGATGTAGCCCTGGTGGCACAGTGGATTACAAGTTGGGCTGCTAACCACAAGGTCAGCAGTTCCAAACCATCAGCACCCCACAAGAGAGAGATGAGGCTTTTGACTCCTGTAAAGATTCTCAATCTTGAAAACCCATGGGAGTGGTTCCACTCTGTCCTATTGGGGCGCTAGGAGGCACCATTGACCCAGTGGCGGGGAGTTTGGTTTGGAGTTGATAGCCAACAGCTGGGCCAGGTACCTTCACCCACCTCCCAACCGCCACGTCAGTGCTGTCGAACAAACCCTCGGTGCTGTGGTTTTTATCCCTAGGAAGAAACAGGATCCTCTCCCCATGGGATCCCAGCAGATGGGCATGGGGAAAGTAGAGAGTCCCTGGGCAACATACACGGGTAATTCTAATACCTGAGGTTTGAGGTCAGGTCCAAGTTTAAGTTCCAGCTCCAGGAATAGTTGCTGTGTGCTACTGCTCCTTAACCCTTGAACCTCCCTGTTGGACAAGGAGAGGTGTTAGGGTCAGTAAAGCAAAGATGATCCCAGTTGGTAGTAAGCAAGGGGGGTATAGCATATCCTTGTATTTGTTGAATGGCACAGTAACTGACACTCTGTAAGCCCTCCACAAATGATGATCATGACTGTTCTTCCCAAGTGCCAAGACTAAAGACCAGAGAGGGTGGTGACTTAGCTAAAGCGCACAGCTGCCGAGCCATGGGAGCAGGGCCTGATTCTGCATACCCATAGCTGTAGGCATCTCAGCCTAGCTCGGGGCTTCTCAGATCCAGACCTGGGGACCTCCATGAACAGGGCACCACTTTGAGCCACACGGACAGAGAGAAGGGTCCTTAGATATGGCTGCCCTCTGTGCAACAAGAGACCAGTGGCATCATGTGAGGCTGCAGAAACCCAGTAGGCCTGCCCAGCAGTGGAGAGGAATCAGAACATACTCTCCATCATCCTGTCCCAGAGGCCTAGCCTGCTCTGCTGGCCACTCAGAATGCTGCCCCTGAGATTGGTACTCAGTGCCTCAGGATACCTGAATTCTTGGGGCTTCACGAGTTTCTGGTAAGAGCAGGGAACTTGGGGGACCAGCCCATTCCTGGTGACAGGTAAGGCACAGAACCTCCGAAGAATCTCAAGGACACAAAATTGTTAGGCGGCTTCCAGATGGGTGAGAGGGACAATTGTGAGGAATGGTGTGATGTCAGCTGCCAAGGCCAGGCATCCCTCTGTTAAAATCTGGACAGTAGGGTGAGGAAAGCCTATTGTTACAGGGCTGGAGAAGGCTAAAGGATATTTCCAAGTGCCTGCCTACAGTGTCTGGCTCCTGGTTGGGACGCACTGATGACCACGGCTATTAGCAGGGCATCATATGGGCAAGTAGGGGGCAGTTGGATCCAAGGGACCATCGGAAAGACATGATGGGGACCCGAAAGAGCCAGAGCTCCAATTGGGATGAGCGGAAGCAAGCCTGGGTCACACCCTCTTGCTTGCTGCTGAAGGCCTCTTGGCTTGTGTGGAGTATATGGAAGCTGACCACATGGCCACCGATGCCCAGGACAGAGAGTGACCATGCCCCAGAACCTGGAGGCCCAAGCTAGAACCTATGTGTTTGTGGGAAGTGGGGGAGGCATAGGGAGCAAGGGAAAAGAGGTCAGAGGAGCAGTGTTGAATCATGGCTGGTATCAGGAACCCCAAGGTCAAGGGAAGTTCTTCCACCAGTTGGCCAAGGAGTTGCGAGCCTCTTAGTGCCTGAAATCAGAGTTCATCGGATATAAAGAGCAGGGGCCATGCAAACTCGCTGGAGTTAATTTGTTGGGGTTCAAGCAGAACCTGGCCCTGTGGTTTATTGCCTTTGTTGCTTGGTGCCCTCTGATAGTCTCCCCCAGCTCCCACCCAGGAGTCCCAGCTCAAGCTCGCTGCATAGTTTGGCTTGCAAGGCTCCAGAGAAAGAAGCTGACTGGACACCTACCAGCCAGTGGTTTGGCTGCTCCTAAGTCAGGTGCTCATTCCCTTGTCCAATCAGTTGTGGTCCAGGAGCTGGACATTGTGCCGGCCCATATTGGTTAAGATGATGCAGGAAGGACTAGCAGATGCTATCAGTGATCTGGTGCTACATAACAACCACCCCCAAAGTGAGCAGTTTGAAACAATGGCAATCCAATCGTGTATTTCTTCCCAATTCTGCCAGAGGATGGGGCGAGATGAGGGCAGCTCATCTCTGCTCTCAGGGTCCCAACTGGGGTGGCTTTGCACCTCAGCTGGGGTGGCTGGAATATGTGGATGCCAGCTGGCTCCTCTCTTCCTCCATGCTCTGCTAAGCTGGCTAACTCACTTCCTTATGGTGGTCCAGGGTTCCCAGAACCTGACAATGGAAGTAGCCAGGTCTCCTGAGGCCTAGGCCTGGAAGTCACGTGGCACACTTTGGCTGCATTCTGGTGGTGCACCCAGAATCAAGAAGAGCGGATGGCCCCAACTCTGGATGGAAGGCGCTGCAAAGTCTCATGGGAAAAGGCCCTTCTGCAGGCTGGGAGGGGCTGTTGCAGCCACCTTTGAAAATGAGCGTCCACAGGGATCTTCTCATGTAATGCACTATCATCCAGTTAATTCCAACTCATAGCGACCCTAGAGGACAGGGTGGAACTGCCCCCTCTGGTTTCTGAGAGTGTAACTCTTTACAGGATTAGAAAGCCTCCTCTTTCTCCCAAGGAGCTGACTGGTGGTTTCCAACTGTTGACCTTGCAGGGAGCTACCCAATGCGTAATAACTCTCCACACCAACAGGGAGCACCACACACAGAGAGCTTGGTGATGGCGTTGTTTGGGGGAACCACTCACTGGTGCCCAGGCCTCTAGAGCTCACCCAGCTGTGGGTGGTTTCCCAGGCAAAGTCATTGGCCTACAGCTCTAAAGTAAAGAGCCAGGATTTGAACCCACGTTTGCTGCTCCCTGGTCCAGGTTCTCGCCACGGTAGGCAGAAGCAGGAGGCAGTGGCTACAAGGGAAAACCAGTCGTAATAATGTTAGGTGCCATCAAGTCAGCTCAAACCCATAGCAACCCCATCTGCCCCCAGAGCAGAACACTGAAGGGGCGGTCCTGTGCCATCCTCACCATGGTTCCTGTACCCGAGCCCACGGTTGGTAGTTCATGGTGTCAGTCCATCTCCTTGAGAGTCTTCCATTTGTTTGCTGCCCTTCCACTTTGCAAACATGATCTCCTTCTCCAGAGACTGGTCACTCCCGACAATCTGTCCAAAGTACGTAAGACAAGGTCTTGCCCTCCTTGCCTCTAAGGAGCAGCGACTCTGGTGGTACGTCTTCCAAGACAGTCCAGTTGGTCCTTTTAGCAGTCCATGGTACTTTCAAGAGGCTTCACCAGCACCACAATTCAAACACACCAAGTCTTCCGTCTGTCTTATTCAATGGACAGTCCTTATTCGATGCACTTCCACGTGCGCATGAGGGAACTGAAAACACCATGGGCTTGGGTCGGAAGCACCTTAGACCTCAAAGTAACATCCTTGCCTTTCAACACTCTAAAGAGGTTTTGTGCATCAGCGTTTGCCAGTGCTGTTGCTGGTCAAGGGCTTGTGCCAGGCCCCAGCGGCTTGGCCACGTCATCCCTTCATCCTCCCGGGAGCAGAGGCAGACCTGGGAGCCATCGCGATGTCGGTTCCAAACCATCGCGATAACGTGAGCCCCCGTGAGAGTTTCGGTTTCTCGGTGCATGTAAGAGGTGTGCTTATGCAGTACTGGCGACTATAGAGTATGTAATAGCGTGATGAAAAGGGCTGGAGTCGCCTAAGAAGGACCAATGTGT